CCCATATCTTTGAAGTTTGCCGCCCCGCGGGAAAAGACTCAGCATGCAGAATTTTTAAAATAATTATCGCCGCTAAAAATTGATTCCATTTTCTGAATCAGTGTATCAAAATACACAAAGTAGCTAGCACTGAACCTGATTTGATGCCATATATAAATTTAAGCATACTTCGTTTCTGATTGTCAATTTTGAATCTGAAGTCATGTATCAAGGTAACCAGCTGCGTTGTGTGCATCTGACCTCACAACTGCTAGGCCAAGGCCTAGGCCTACACACAGCACACTTCCCGTGGCCCGGTTAAAAAACTGCTGGTGTTGGCCTAGCTTATACGTCCTTACTCTTTGAGCGTCTAGGTGGCGGCTCCTTCCCAGAGCCGGTACTAACACCTCCGTCTGTAGAACCGGGAGTTCTGGTACTGGGTATCGGTACCTGCCCATCCCTACCAGACTGTGCATTCATATATGAATAACATTTTCAAACTATCGTAACATCTAACAACAATTAAAGACACAGTAAAGAAAACAATGACCCAACCTAATTTTTTCTAGTATCTCAATTTTAATTCAAGATTCTAGGGAGGTACGAAAAAAAAAAAGAATTCAGGGTCTTAAGGGTGAATCAATGGCATACATATTCTTCTAGAGACTGTAAGACCAAAAAACCTATCTTTCTGGTTACTGAGACTGATCTTACCCTTTATAGAAGAATATTCACAGTAAAAACAAAACTCTATTGAGTAGAAGGGAGTATAAGTTCAAGAGGTATCATACACAACACGATTTGCTGCCCACTCACCACTGCATCCATTTCTTGGAGAGGGGTATATGTGTAACCTCTGATTATGACAGCTCCTCTCGACAAAAATCTGTACCTCCAAAGACAGGTGCAAAGTGAGAGTAAGAACATGAAGAAAAGGATCCCACACCTGCAAAAAGACGGAGAGCATCAGCTGTGAAATTCCTCATTGTTCACATGCAAAATCGTCAACATCTATGGGAAACAATACTCAGAATGTAGGAAACTAATAACAGAATGTAGTTTTCTTCAGTTCACTATACATTTTATATATGTTCATAACGTGCCACTTGAGATTTAAAGAACATAGTTTCGCTTCATTAGACGGTAATAAATCAAGTAAACATTCGTTTTAAAGAAGCATTTGTTCAATCTATTAGCTTCTAATCTATGACAGAAAATAAAGTAATTAAGGGGCAAAGATCTCACCATAAATACCAGAGGTCCAAAACTTTGTAGGAAGGGCAGCAGACATTATCTCCACAGCAATACTCCTCTTCTGTGCACCTGATAGCAATAAAATGTATCATGTATGATTTTGATAAGTTTAAATATAACACAATAAATACAATAAAATACTTTTTACACCCATTTCGGAATAGAAAGAGTTTACTCCTGTGAGCATTTCAAAGCATAAAATATGTACAGTGCATTTCTTGTAGATCGACCGAAGAGAAGCAGAATTATTATTGACTTCCTCATTCTGTTAACCAAACACTGCACTTTCCAAAGCTAAAATAGGGGGGCACGCTACAAGTATTTGTGAGAACAAACGGTAATTTTTTTTTAATGCTAACTTTTTAACTCAGAGATACCTTGAAAATCTAAAAAGTTAAGTCAAAAGGGCAGAAACGTTCCATTGGGTCTCTTCAACAAAATTAAATATATTTGAAATTTTCATTGAACTACCTACTACCACCAATATGGTCATTTCACTGCAAGAACATGCCACATAACAACCCAGTCTGTCCAAGAGCCCGCTTTAACAGTGAAACAAAGCTTTTGCCCTATTATTTGCATGACCACGGACCCATTTTTCAGTTATTTTATTATTTATTTAGTAGAGGTTTTACGGCGCTTGCAACTGCATAAGGTCATATGAGCGCCAAAGGGTGGACGTCAACAGAAAAGTCTTTAAAGGGACTTGGGCTTACTCTGCTCACCTCTCTAGCTTTAACAGCATAAAGTCTGTTTCGACTTTCATTTTTAAGCACAAAAACCCAAGTGAGGGAAGACTTGAATAAAGAGGTATTGAAATTTTCTTGGAAACCTAAAGACACAGAGTCTTTCTCTCTCTCACACGCACACACGTACACACACACGCATGTGTGGGGCATCATGGTGAAATCAGATACTCATCAAAATAATGAAATCGTAAAAACCAACACATTTCCACCTGTTGGCAATTTTAACCCTTTTTTTTTATTTGGCTCAACACCATTTATGTCCACTTAAGAACATCTTTTTGCAAGGCGACCGAAAGCCCCTTCAAACGTAAATATCTCGACTTCTAGAAAGACGGGCTGTTTTCTCACGAAAAGCAAGATTAATGAACAAGCCGAAGATAACAACAAACTATATTATGCACAAAAATTGATAGGCCCCTGATTCCACCGTTTCGTGACACATATTATACTAATACCAATACAGTAGTCTCTGCCTAAACGTAGGGTAGTGGCTCTCGTGGCCTAGAGGTTAAGGTGTTGGCCTCTCATTCAAAGGTCCCGGGTTTGAATCCGGGTAACGACCGAAAAATTTTCTTCTCTAAAATTGTCTCCTTTCACCTCCTTTCCTGCTGTCTAGCAATGTTCTGTTGTCTGCTTTCATTTCCACTTTCTGCCCCCAACCCCTCACCTCTTTTGCCCCCTCCTCTGGGCTCCTGACTCGTTCTACAGCCTTTCTACTGCTACTCCTTGGCTCCTCCTTACTGCTGTCTTTCTGCCACACCCCTGATCTTCTGGTAGGAAAGATCTACACCTAGCCTTTTCGGACAAGGGCTAAAAATCTCGAAGGGCCCGTGTGCAAGTTGCGCACGTTAAAGATCCATTAGTGGTCTAAAATCTATAAGAGTAGGCTTCGGCCGCCACCCGGCAAAATTCAAAATTTCCTACCAACTGAAAATATTAGGTGTGTCCAGCACGCTCATATGACCTTATGCAGTTGCGAGCGCCGTAAAACATGACATTAAAAAACAAAAATGTAGGGTGTTCGAGAGGGCTCCATAGCGTGTGTTAATACAGAGGGTGCATTTACATGAACCTGTGCAAAGGGAGGAAGGAATGCAATCATCTCATTTCCTTGATATTTTAATTACCTCCCTTGGGGGTTGGGGTCACAATGGATGATAATGTGACGACATGTGACTGTTTTGTGAAAGTTTCCCCAACTGTTCTTAGGAATTATGAATGCAAAGGCATTGAATGGCTGGGGGAGCAGAAAAACGTACTCGCTGTACTGATATAATGCTCTATAAAATGTCAGGACAGACAAGATCTTAAGAGGAAACAGTTGGTGTTGGTCATCAGGAAAGTACTCAGCTATGTGGTTTACCAAGCAACCACTCCTGACTGCCTGTCCGAGAGATTTTTCTCTTGTGATTCGTTAAACAATTTAGTATATTATGTTCTTTTAGCGCAACTGATTACTTGACTAATCTTTAATCCAAAAGAAGTCTGTCTAACGTTCTACAGCATTCATGCATGTTTCACATCATAGGTCTAACCAAATATTACGTATGCAGTCACTCAAACATTAGTCAGAAACCTGAGACACATTTCGAGTGACCAATGAAAAGACATTTATTCAGTCCCCCCCCCTACCCCTCTCAAAATATCACTCGACCAGTCCTATACCTATGTGTCGACGGAAAGTTGGGTGTGAAAACGCTGTGCATCACTCTGTTTGCTCTGCGTGAGGGGCAGTCTCACTAAATATCCAGTTGTCTAGACTTCTCTTATTTAAGCACGCTGTGTAGGTTGCAGTGAAAATTTCCCCTTGTCAAGCTTTACCTGTCGACGTGTCTTGCGGATCAAAACGTGTTTTTGTACATCTAAATTGTATCGTGAAAAACCCCTCATTTGACAAAAGCGTGAGTTTGAGTGGCGAGGGGCTTTGTGTGGCGTGCCTTCAGGTGGAGACTACTGTACTGAAAAACACATTATCATAATTGTCTTTTATACGAAAAAGATCATTAACATGACACCTGAAAAAGGGAGAGACAAGGACAATGTCTTCACAATGGACCCAACAAAAACAATTTCAAAACAGAACAGAAAAATAAAAGCAAAACTGTCACATCCTCAGGCATGCCATCATATTTGCATGATTTCAACTTACCTGTCATTATCACAGTAATATGCTTCAACCTGAAATCAGAACAAAAACCATTATTATTAAAAAGTAACAAGCTTTGAATCAGTTTATAATTCATTATTTGGTGATCAAAGTCTATATTATGTTATACGGGGTGCACACTATGTCTGGATCGGGCCAATCGCCCGACTCAGTCGTCTGAAACTGACAACAAACACGTTTGTTTTTGAGGCGACCGAGTCGGGCGATCGGCCCGATCTGCCAATCCCATCCGTAGTGGGCACCCCGTATTAGCAGCACAAATTTGTCTCAGCAGTTGGTATGCAACATGATCAAATGTTGAAAAAGGAAAAAAAATTATTATTTAAAGGTAACATAGCCTTTAAAGTAGAGCAATTTATTGGCTTTCTGCAGTGTAGATATTTGACATCGTGTAAAATCTACCAGACAGGAAGGGACTACTATATCATCAGTTCAAATCTCAATATCAACTGTTTTATCAGCATGTTCGTGTAACTATAATTTAAGAACTAAGTGACAGTATCAAGGGTAAGAAGGCAAATCGACGGCCTTGTAAGACTCTCATTGTACATCACTTTTCAATGTGTGAGGCATCATAGTGAAATCAGGCGCTCATCAATGAAATAAGAGAAACAGGCTTTTTTCTGCCAGTTTGACAATTTTTATCGAATTTTTACTTTTTGGCTCAGCATCTTTTATGTCCATATAAAAACACATTTTCGTGTGAATTTTACAGAAAAAAGGTTAAAGACTTAATCTTATGTATACCCAGTGTCCATTGGGGGGGGTCAGTTCTCTAACGCAAACTAATCGCGCAACTCGCCGCTTTGAAAACAAAATGTTTGTTTTTGAGGATCACCATTGGGGTTCGTTCAGCTTGTGCCACGATGGAAGTGACTCTTCTCACCCTGAGTGAGAATAAAAATACAATTGACCTCTCACCCCTTAAGAGACTTGCCAGCGTTCGCTATTCTCACCCGGTGTGAAACAAAGACCTGTTTTTCCTAATTTCTGAATACACTATCTATCGGTGTGGATGATCAAATTGACAAACGCTAAGAAAAAAATGATGTTATAGCACAAAAGAAAACTAATTTGGTCGTCTACAAAGATGCTACAGCTATTTCACTTTTCAAATCGAGCCGAACTACGCCGGTCAAAATTTGTTTTGCCCGAACTTCTCGCTACTCCTTCTGTCTCTCTCTCCCTATCTCTTTCTCCCCCTCCCCTCTCTCACTGCCCTTAACTGCCTTAGACAAAATTGAAGGCTTTCAACACAAAAGCGCTGGAATGTTTGGCTCTCTTCAGGAGAAGTGGTCCCGGCCTAGCTTCATAGAAATTTAAATATTATGTGCTCAATCGCAAACAAAAACGGAAGTCGGTTTTTAAAAAAGGAGGGTGCAGGGGGAGGTAATCCTCTTGCAAAAGAGGGGGTGCCAGGGGTCTCCCCCCTGCTATATCACAAAAATAATGGTTTGCGACTGTTTTTAGTCAATATTTCTCACAAGAATACCGCGAGAACTTTCGGGCAAAACAAAATGGCGACCCGCGTAGTTCGGCACGATTCGAAAAGTTAAATAGCCGTAGCATCTTTGTAGACGACCAAATTAATTTACTTTTGTGCTTTATTTAACATCATTTTTTAACGTTGTTTTGGTCAATTTGATCGTCCACACCGATAGGCAGTATTCAGAAAGAGACAGAGAGAGAGAAGAGGGGAGGAGTAGAACTTGCGAGAACTTCCGGGCAAAACAAAATGGCGACTCCCATTATAGTTCGGCTCGATTCGAAAAGTGAAATAGCCATAGCATCTTTCAGGGTTGGGTTGATTTAAATCAGTTGATTTTTTTTATT